TACTCTGCACAGGGAAGAGCTGAAGAAGCAGTTGGGAGCCTCCAGTAAACAGACAGAGACTTTGTTCCTCTCACTGGAAGTGACAAGCCACCAGGAGGGCAGGGTGTTCAGTAAGCAGAGATGATCTGGGTTTACCATGTGATTTGTACTGCAGCAGAGCTGCTGGCACAGCTGCTGTGATAACCAGGAGAAAATTCTCTCCAATGTTTCAGAGTTAGCTTTTCCCTCCACAGCCTTTTACTCCACGCAGAGAGCAAGAGCCAAGTTGTCAAGCCAGTGGTGCTGGCTCAGCATGCCACGTCTTATTAAGGCAAAGCAATTAAGCATGGACTTAACTTTAAACACATCATCAAAGCCCGGTGGCTTAGTGCAAGTTCAGACTTAAGCAGATGCTTAAGTTCACATTGCTGACTTGAGGCTGAACCTGCCAAATTAAAGCACAAAACCTTGCTTGAGCTGTTCTAGGGGAGTAAGAAAACACGTGGCTTATTCCTGACAGTGACTGTGCTAATAGTAGGGACAGGTTCAGCATTTCAGCCCAGGTGCCAAGCACTGCTAAGGTCACACTCTGGTGTAAGGGCTCTCCAGCTCCCTGGCAGACACGTCTGACCACGCGGCTGCACCACAGGGGTGGTCACCCCCTGTCACACTGTGAGCCCAGTGTCACAGTCCCACTGCTGCAGAGCCACGTGGCAGCACCTTCTCCTTCCAGGAGCTTACACAACTCCATGGTTTCAGGTCAGGCCTGAAGGAGAGGAGAAGGGGAGATCGTATCAGCACAGGATCGTGTCCAAAGGAACCTGTTTAAAAATCTGGCAAGCACCTGGTGGAGATGGGCACTCATAATCTGCTGTGGTGGGAATCAAATCCTCCAGACATGAGAAGCTCTCCAAACATGATTAAAAAAAAAAAAAAAAGGTGCTGCCCCACGAGATGAACTGGGTTTTTTTCAGTACATTGATGCTGTGCTTGTCCAGGCCTGAGAAAACAGCACTACAGAAATGCAGATCTGCGATGCCGAGAGCATCCTGCAAGACATAAGACTTTGTGGATGCTGGAAAGGCTCTGTCAGAAAGACATTACACAGACAGAAACTTGACTTGGAGGTGGACTTGGTGAAGTTGATGAAGATCAGAGACGGGAAACTTTGACTGGATCAGTTTTGATTCAGCGGAAGGCACAGGAGAGGTGTTAGGACAGACTTGAAGGAGAAGAACTTTGTAGTGTGAAAGTAGAAAAGGTTTCAGTACTGAGATGAAAGGCAGATGGGGTGGCAGTTGGAAAGGGTGAAAAAAAAAGAAAGAAAAACAAAAAACAAAGCCCACAAAGAAACAAACTCATACATACCCTTGAGCCTGCAAACATTAAATGTGATTGTATTACCAGCAAAAAAGTCAGAGAAGAATGAGAAGTTATGGCAAAGAGCTGGAGAGGGAACAGAATTTTCCACTGTTCATGGTCACTAACATGGAGCACCACCTGCAACCCCAGGACAGAGGCTGGAGCATCTGATCTACACCAGCACCATGTCCTGGAAATTATGGAGTAACTCCAAAGAAATTGACTGGAAGAGACACAGCCCCTCTTTCTTCCCACAGAAGTACAGGTTAACTGGGACCAGGAAAAGCCCTTTCCATTTCAGCACCAAGTGAGGGAGGGAAAAAAACATACTATCTTGTTCCAATTCCTGTGACTTATTAGGCAGGATATAGGAATTTTGCAGCATACATGGATGTAAATACCAGACCAAAATACATGTCTCTGCTTTTTTAGATGATTTACAGGGAAATAAAATAGGTATTTTCCTTCTCTAGTAACTTTTTAAAGGATAATTAAAAATGGTAAAAGTACCAAAAGACTCATCACGTGGACACTCCAAGTCTGAAGTGCACACAAATATAGATGAAGCAGAAGTCCTAGAAAACACTGCAGTTCTCTGTGATAACAGCTCCTGAACACCACAGTCCTCTGACATTACATTCCATGGCCATTTGTGACCAGTCCTCAGCCTTCACACACAGAAACCCCGGCATGGTCTCCTGTTAAACCACAGAATACTTGCTGATCTACTGAGGGAGGAATGTAAATCACCAGCACAGTTCACAGAGTCCTGGGGGCTTTTTGTCATTTTCCAGGTCCCCCCCCCAAGAGTGAGCAGAAGAGCAGCCACCCAGCCCTGCCTTCAGCTTTCCTCAGTAAATGTTCCTGTCCCTAGCTGGGCACCACAGGCTGGGGACAAAGATGAGCCTCAGGAAAGGTGGTGACCATCAGCAGGTTGTCACCACCCAAATGACATCCCCATCTGGTGCCTGGCCAGCCCTCTGGTCAGACCCAAGATGGCACAAAGCCATCCTGAGGGCAACAGCTCATCCTCAGGCACCCTTCAGACCCAGGCAGGAGTGAGGTGACAGCGTAAGCAGATGATTGCACCTGCCACAGGTTTGGGCACAGGGACAGGACAACAGCTCCTCTGCCACTGGGGAGGGCAGGGACACAACCCACCTGGAATTCTGAGCACACTGCACCCCACCAGCACCCTGCTCTCCAGCCAAAGGCACCAGCACTGTCCAGTTGCACTAAAACTGAATTTGGACAGCAGTGACAACAATCATGCCCTCACCTAAATAAACTGAGATATGAAGTCTATTAATAGTTGGTTGTACAAACTCCCCACCCTGCGTGTTTACATGTTGACAGTCCTGCTGCTGTGTGAACAATCAGCCGTGGCAAGAACTGTCAGTCAACAGAACTCTGAAGCAGCACCACTCTTGGCTAAAGCCAAGGCACAGGAATGGAGTAAGAACTCCAAGCCAGGACCTGCAAGAGTGACTCTCGCTGCCCAAATGACAAGAGGATGTATGTTCATGGTGCCTGAAGGAGGCCTGTGTTTAACCCAGGTAAGGACAGAACATCTTTGTGAAAACTGCAGAACATTAAAGTACTTTACAAACCCAAAACTCACAGCCACGAGGATAAAGCAGTCACCCACCAACTGCAAACACTCCAAAAATTATGAGGATGGTTCCAAAACTTATGAGACTTATTTAAAAACCGTTCGTAGCTCAGAAAGGGTTCATGCTTTTCATTTACTCAAGGGCATTTAATTACTGGGATACCTCTGAGTTATGTACTTGCAGTTTTCCTCTTCAAGCATGATGACCACAAATGTAGCTTATTTTCTTCAACCAGCAAAACCTGAGCTACTAATCCTTTTTGTTTTTTCCTCAGCACCCAGTCATCAAAGGCACAAAAGGCTGGGAAGCTTGCAACAAAATCCCAAGAGTCAGCACTTCTGAAAGCCTTGGCCTCTCCTGACACGTTTTATCTAATTTTAAGCAGATGCACTTTGTAGCATCTGCAGAACCTGGTCCTGGGCTGAAAGAGCTTCTCTCTGTCCGGGCAGTGCTCTCCTGGCATTGCCACTGCACCACACAGAGCACTTGCATTGCCAATACTGAATTCAGGTCTACAGATTGATGGAGAGTGGGAGTGTTGCTGCAGACTGAAAAATTGCATTCTGACACCAAAGAAAACTTGGGACAAAGTATTAAGCCAGAATCCTCACCCTTCTCTGGCAAATCACACTGTAGACATCGTCTGGAATTGCTGCAGAATTTGGGACACTGGTTTAACCTGGGTCAGACTTAAATAGTCCCTGGACTGACATACAGCCATTCCTCCAGATTGTTCTGAGCTTCTTCTCAACTCTTCTGACTACAGAAAAACCAAGTGACCTCACCAAATAAACGCCCATAACACCTGCCATGCTGTGAACATGCCACAGATAACAGCTGGATAAAACCACGGGGCTTGACTGTTGGATTTTTCAGATCCAACAGTGATGACCATCACACAAAGGAATCATTATTTCTTATTTTAAGTGTTTTCAGTGCATGGCTTTCCTCCATCAGAAAAATCCCCCAGATGTGTTTGTCTCACATTTAGCAGTTTCTTAACTGTGTTTTGGTTTATTGTTGCATTGGAGCTGGAGAGCACTGCACTGCCTGTTCTGGAAATCAGTTCACCCCCTCGATTCCGAGGGGAGTTTAAATATTCAGAAGAAAGTCTGTTCCTTAGTGCTCACCTCACCAAGGTGGGCTTCTTGCCTTTCCTTTCCCTCCCACCCTGCCACTTTGCCTCAATTCCCCTTTTGTTTTTTAAGCTGTGGTATGTTGTAGCTTTTGCCAACTGCAAAGCAACTATTAACACAATAAACCCCGATTGTATATGTTTCCTGGGTGGTAAAAATTAATAATTTCTTTCATCAGCCAAACTTTCTCCGTTGAACAGAGCTCTGGGACTGCCAGAATTCCAGAGAAACCCACTGAGGTCCTCCCAGCTGCTAGAAACCCGCTGCTACCAATTAAAAACTTCAAAAAGCAAAAGATAGGAAATTTCTGCAAGGACCAACTGCTTTAATTTCTGCTTCTTCGTTTAAGGGAAGTAGATAAATAAACACACACACACACACACACACACACAAGAATACCCCAAACCAACACCGAACTCCTAAATCACAGGAGTTTCGTATTAAAACGGGACGAAGGGAAGCCCCCATCGGTAACTCCCCACTTTTCTGGAAAAATCTCATTAGTTTGGGGAGGAAGATGAATAATTCAGGAGCTTCGCGCCGAAGCGCCCGCCCGGGGGGGACCCACCGGGACCGAAACTTTCCCGGTGCGGCGGGCGCGGGGCACCCGGAGAGCGAAACCCCCCCCACCGCGGGGGTGGAGGGCGAGGGGGGGACGGAAATTAAAAATAAACCCCAAAACAACAGCGAGAGGCCCCCGCTGCCCTCCCGAGCCGCGAAGTTCCGCGGCCGCACGCCGCCGCCGCCCCCCTCTCCATCCGCAGAGCCGCGGGGGACAGCGGGGACCCCACACGCACCCCGAGGGATGGGGCGGGGGGCATTCTGGGGGGCCACGGGCTCTGCCGACGCTTCCCTGCACACATACACACCCCCCCCGCGAAGGGCCGGGAGAGGCGGGAGGGCGCCTTACTTTTCTGGCTGGAGTATCCCGGGTAATATCCATAGTAGCCGGTGATGCGCAGGATCCGGTCCTCGATGGTGGCCACGCCGTTGGGCGCTGCCTTCCCATCCATAGGGGGAAGGAGCCGCGCGAGGGGCGGCCGGGCGGGACGGCGAGCGGAGCCGGGAGGGCAGCGGGAGCGGGAGGAGGAGGAATGGGAAGCGAAGGAGGAGGAGGAGGAGGAGGAGGAGGAAGGCGGCGCGGGCACGGCCGCCGCAGCTCGCGGTGCCGGCGGGGCGCTCGCTCTGCCTCCGCCGCCTGGTGCAGGACGGGCTCCGCAGCGCGGCTCCCGCCCTCTATGGATGGGAAAGGCAGCGAGTGGCTCCTCCGGGCCGCAGGTGGGGTGGGAAGCGGGAGGGTGAGGGTCGGATCCTGCCCCCGGCGCGCTGGGGCGTCTGTGTGTCCGTGTGAAGGGATGCCGGTGTCACCCTGTCACCCCCGGACCCTCCGCGGGACGCAGGGGGATGGGGAGGTGAGGGGGGCTTGCTCCGGGATGGGCAGCGCTTCCACACGTGCTGGGAAATGGGGTTTGGTGCAGGAGGGAAGGGTGTCTGGAATCACAGAGCTGCAGTTCCTCAGATCTGACCCCCTCCCAGGGGCTGCACGTGTTTCAGAGGAAGGAGAGAGGACAAATTTGGCCTCAGAGGACTCGGGGAGGGAAGGTTTCACCACTCTGTGAAATATAACTGTGTCTATGTCATAGAGTCATAAAATGGTTTGGGTTGGAAGGGACCTTAAAGACCATCTCATTCCAACCCCTTGTTGTGGGCAGGGACACTTTCCACTAGACCAGATTGCTCAAAGCCCAATCCAACCTGGCCTTGGACACTTCCAGGGATGGGGCAGCTTCTTTGGACAACCTGTACCAGGGCCTTACCACCCCCACAGTACAGAATTTCTTCCCAATATCCAGACTAACCCTGCCCTCTGGCACTTTGAAGCCATGTCCCCTTGTCCTGTTACTCCAAGCCCTTGTCCAAAGTCCCTCTCCACCTCTTTTGTAGCCCCCTTTAGGCAGTGGAAGGGGTCGTCTCAGCCTGTCTCCAGAGCAGAGGGGCTCCATCCCTCTGATCTGACATGTTCATCATGCCCCTCCAGAGGAGCCCATGTCTCTCTCTTTATCACTTGGAGGCACACTGTGGGAAAGTTCAGAGGAGGAGAAAGTATATCTTCTCTCAGCCACCCAGGCAGGTTGTACACCTTCTCTAACATCTCTCTGTAGGATGTCAACTACATCATTGCCTGCATTTGAAAAAAGAAAGGTGAGAAATTCCACATTTGGCTTTGTAACTCATTCCAGAGGCTAATGCTGTCTCTGATAACAACTGGGCTTTGAATTACTTGACTTTTCCTGCCACTGGTGCTCATTAGGCTTCTCTGTGCTAGACTGAAAAGACCATTAGCAACCAGCCTTTTTCCTTCAAGACGTATTTCTGTCTAGTAATAAATTAATTTTTTTCACTGTTTTGTGGCTCTGTCACACTTATCTTCACCTACTCCTATTTCATCCAGCCATTTTCATTAACTGGTTAAGACATTCCATAACCCTTCCTTCCTCCCCTGTTCACATTCACTTTTCTCCCTTCTGTGCTTGGCTAAATAAGCTGATGGCACAAAACCTCCTTTTATGAGCACAAACAAATAATAGATGTATTAAAAATAGCCGTCGCTGTGGCTTTGCTCAGGGAGTCATTAGCTGGTTAGTGTTTGCACAGTGCTTTGAAGATCAAGGTTTTCTGGTGGATGGGTGCAGATATAATAAATTCACTTACAATATTAAATACCCTTCTGATCTTGGTTTCTTGTCTCTTGCCCTGCTGCTGGGTAATTCTTGAGGGCAGTTACAAATCAGTGATATATCAACCACCAGCCACCAAAATAACCTGGGAATTCAAGGTACCCTTTTAGTCTAGCTATGAAATAAGATCAGAGGCTTTTAATGTTTTGCAACATATAGATCTGTTTGTATTTGCTCAACAGAAACACAGAGTCCCGCGTGGCGAATTTATGCCAACTGACACCAGATATTTTCTTTTGCTTCTAATCTGTGGGGTGTCATAAGCAGCCCACGCCCCTGGAGGATTTCACAGACCATGGGACAGAAGCAGCTGAGAGCCAGACCATGTATTATTTGGCTTTGAGAGGTGCTGGGTCAGTAGGAGCTGGTGAGGCTCTAAGCTCTTCTGCAAGCTTAAAATTCCCTGTCCTACTTAGGGAAGCACAGTTGATGCAAAAATCACTTGCCTGGTGTGTTGTGTGGAATCTCTGAACAAACTACAAGTCCCCCCCTTCCCAATTTCACCTCCAGTGGGAGTTGGTGTTATGAGAACATTACCAGCATTGATCTCAGCTTCAAAGTCAAATTTCGGGACTTAAAAGTGTTACTTTGAAGAGAAGGAAAGAAATGCCTGGTTCATTTGAAGGTTAAACTGATGTACCCAGAAACAACTCTAAGCTTCAAGCTTTCCAAACACCTTAGTTCTGGCTTAATTTTTCATCTCCTCTCTTCCTCTTATCCCTAGGCTTTCAAGGACATGCTGTGCATGTTTAAACACCACTAGATGATAATGTAAGCAAAGCCATTCTTGAAATTGCTCCTGCCTGTGGTTCCCTTCCAACATCACTCTGTGCAGTAGATGCACACTGGTACCCTCTGCCTCGTTGAAAGCTTGTAATGAATTGCAGCTTCGTATCGTTTCTGAATTCCTACTATGCTGACCATTTTTCTTTTCAGAAAACTCAGGCAAATTGCTTTTCCTGCAATTGGGTTTTTTACAAGTTAAAGGAGTGCAGAGGAAACCTCACTGAGCAAGATGTATGAACTACCATTTATTACCGAGAAAAAGAGATATGATGAGGGGCACATGGAGAGTTGTTTCCTCTCTTCAAGTTAACAGGTCCATCGAAGGCACTATTTGCATAAATATGATGAAGTGATTTTGCAGTGAGATTTGTCTATTTACCATTCTGTGAAAAATAAAACTAAGGGGTTGATCCAGAAAAGAGCTCTGAAAGCATCAATTTAACCTGGAGCTTCTCGTACAGGGTGAGTTTCCCCCAGAATCTACAAATGCCTGTCTTTCTCTAGGAAAAGAAAGAGCCTTACACTATTAATGGCCACAGACTTTGGCCACAGTGTTTTCAAAAAAGCATATTTAACTCCAGGCCATATGTTTGCAAAAATAACTTCTCAAGTGAGAGAACAATGTAAATGTCTCCTGATCATCTTGCTGATTCTGCAGACAGTCCCAGTGTCTTTTTTGCTGCTCACAGCTTTCCCAGACAGCCTCAAATAGAAAGGAACAAGAGTCTGGGTGTACTTTACAGCTGCCTTTCAGATCCCACTGGATGGGGCTGTCAGGAAACCACGAGTATCCTCACGTGAGCAGAGCCTGAAGAAGCAAACCTTTCCAGACCTTTCCTTACCTGCTTGTTTGCTGACCACATCAGCTCTGATTGTTTCTCCAAGGAGGCAAGAGGCATCATTTCCTCTGTTGCAGTCCCTTATTTGTGTTGCAGGATACCCTAAAAGACCCAACAGTGATTGCTCAGGGCTCCCCATGCTGGACAAACAGCCCAAAGGGTCATGGAATCATAGAATCATGGAATGGTTTGGGCTGGAAGGGACCTTAAAGATCATCTTGTTCTACCCCCTGCCACGGGCAGGGGCACATTCCACTATCCCAGGTTGCTCCAAGCCCCATCCAACCCCATCCAAGCCCCTTGAACACTTCCAGGGATGGGGCAGCCACAGCTTCCCTGAGCAACCTGTGCCAGGGCCTCACCACCCTCATAGCCAAGAATTTCTTCCTAATATCCCATCTAACCCTGCCCTCTGGCACTTTGAAGCCATTCCCCCTTGTCCTATCTCTCCATGCCCTTGTCCAAAGTCCCTCTCCAGCTCCCCTTTAGGTATTAGAAGGCCTCAGAAAGGTCATCCTGGAGCCTTTGAGGTTGGGATTTAGGGAAAGACACAAGACAAGAGTGATAGCAAAAATGCTTAAAGTGGTTGATCCTAAAGCGGGTCAACTACGGGCTTTGAGGAACACAACCCAGCTCTCTTCTTTCCCATGCCAGGTCCTTCTCCTTCACTACTACACCCTCCTCCACATACCTCCCCAACCCACCTGAGGTGAGAAAAAGGGGAGATTTCTGTCCATGAGTAGAGGCTGCTGCTAATCTTGTCATGTCAGCTCTTTGAGGAGGTTCAGGCCTAACTTGTTATTGAGAGCTATAAAAAAAAACCCAGGCAGCTTTGGTCTATCAGTGCCTGTTAATTCCTGAGTGCACCTTATCTGCGAGCCTGTGAACATGTGAAAAAATGAAAAAAGAGCTCACACAGCAAGGATTGTTTAGTGCCAAGTGAGTCTTTAAAGTGAAAAATTAATTACAAGTCGATCCTTCCAAATTAACAGTTTTCATTCTTCCAATACACTGATTTTTTTAAACAAGAATGTGTCGCTTTGGCTTGAACTATAACTCAGCAAGAATCTCTAAAAAGTCACGGCAAAGAGGACTTCTGTCATTTGGAGAACATTATTTTGTGTGTTATGGGCCCAGTTCTCCTTTCAGACAAGTCGTGCTGGTGTAAAACCAGCATAAACATGAAGAAGCTGAACCCACAGAAAATCGGTAGCATTTGAAGTTCCTCTAATTGTCCTCTTAAGTGGTGCCCATGAAAGCCACTGGAGCAAAGCCAGTTCTTTCTCACTCTGCCTCACACACACCAGGGATGAAGGATGGACTGGTCTCTCTGTTGACATCAAGGTCAAAAGGACTCATCGACAATACGAAACCATTTAGTGTGAAGATGCCTGGACCTGGCAGCTTGGCTTTAAGAGCTTTTCTCCCCCTCTGTTTGAAAACTGGGGAGATTCCAGCTTGGAACAAAATTTGAAGTCCAGTTCCAAAATATTGCAGAGCATCACCAGATATTAAAAGGTTTTGATTTGGCAAGGAGCGAGGCAGCTTTTTCGATGCCAGTTGATTTAATTGATGGGAGGCAGAACAAGAAACAAATCAATTCTTTCCAAAACTAAGACAAAAAGATGGTATTAAGGATGGAAGAGAAAGCTGCCAGAGCAGGACCCATGCTCCAAAGCAATTTGTGTGAATACATCCA